ATACAGTAGCCACAATTATTATTTAAAAAAAAAATTTTTTTTAGTTTCATTAGAATTAACATCGATAAAAATTCAACTGGTGGTCACATGCAATGGAGAAAAATTTCAACATAGGATAGGTTAAAAGGGGTGCTGAGGATTTTTCCCAGGCCAGAAGGAAACTTCTTAAGTTCATAGTATTCCAAACTCTATAAAATTAACATTATTTTTAATAACAGAAAATAAAATCTTTAACACTGCTTTTTATTAATAAACATGCCACATAACTTTTGTTAAAAAAAAACAAAAGATTAAATAGGCCTACTCTACCCCTATGCTTCTATAGAAGCTCTTGACAACAATAGTGTTTGATAGGAAATCCATTTAAATTATCACATCATGTAATATGCTTAGATAAAAAAAACTTATCATTTTTATATTACCTATCAATATCAATTAGAATAAATAAATTTCTTCTATTAATTTTGAAACTTACTTTATAATTTTGACAGATTTTTCCTATATTCATCATTTTAATAATAATTTGTTTTTAAAATAGGTAAAATTTATTAGTATGTTAACGACTACTGTCTAATTTACTTTTTTAGTTTTGATACAGTTAATTCTATTAAATATATTAAGTAAAAATAGTATATTTACATTTTTCTTTAATGAATAATAACATGATTTGTTAGAATAACTTACTGGTGGTACACTTATAAAACCTCCATCAAATGATTTCCTATGATGTGGTAATCCTAATTTAGCCAATTCTCGATAATATGTCAGAAACCACTGCTGTTGATCTGGTGTTAAATTAACTAAAACAACACGTAATTTATAAATTTCTTATTTTTAATTTAATTTTTTTAATCAAATATCAAAAAATTGAAATGCATTTATTAATACCTGCTAAACCATGACATAACTTCCCAAGATGCCTTGCTATTACTGGTAAAGTAGCATCTTCTGTTCTAATAGAATTCTCACAAAATTTTTTCACTAGTGGAATGATGATTTGAATACATGTTTCTGAAAAATGATATTTTAGAATAATTTTCCAAAAATAAATATTCAATACAATTGAGTTATCAAAAAAAATGTGCATATGATCTAAGTGAGAGAGATAGAAAAAAAATCTTCAAATAATGAAATTTTGAGTAATGGAAATTACCAATTCTTTGATGAGATCACCATCCACCATCAATGATTGTAAACAATTTAGTTTGACTTAAACACAATAATACATTTATTTATGATTTCTCATGTATATTGTAAACACATGTATAAAATACTCATACTATTAATAAAAGAAATTTGTTATAGCAGTTTGATATCAATGTGTTATTGTTTCATGCTCAACATATCCTAAATGTGTTCAATCATCTTTAAAAGAATCTATATCATATATAATGTGACCTCTAGAAATCCAACAAAAACTCTGACATTTTAGATCCAGTAATCAGATGGATGGCAAGATAATAAACTTATCTAGCCATCCACAGCTTTCTTTGGATTTTGTACTCCAACTATTGCTCAAACCATTCAAGTTTTTTCACTGAGAAGTCTTCTGTTGACAGAAATATTTTTATCTCTGCACAGTATGAACCACCTCAACATCTAAATACCCATATAAACTTTCTTTTCTATCCTGATACCATTGTTCATTGAAATATTGAAAAATTTCAATGTTTTTCAGATAAATAGAGAAAAAAATTGATTAAATGCCAAATTCTTTCATAGTTTCAGATTTCCTCATACTTTTTCTTTGGTTTTACTTACAGACCTATAAAGAGTCCTCAGTTCTTTATTGCTTGTTATCTCTACTTCACAATGTACAGAGTACACTGACTTATTGCTCAATGACTCTGAAGACTATGTACAAATTTTACAGTTAAATTTTTGGCTCTTCTATTACGTGCAAAAAACAGATAATTCTGACAAATACTTAAAAATCTAATCCTAAAATTTGATCACTAGAACATTCTTTACAACTGAACATTATATTATATCAATATCATACATAACTCCCAGTGAAGATATCTCGAAATTTCTACATTTGAGATTCCTGAAATTAAGACACATTAATTTATCTCTAAATCACAAAGCAGTGACCATAATGGATGTTCATCATGTCAAGTTGTCAGCATCAGAGCATTTACAAAACTTTCAATGTCTTATCAAATTGGATATCTAGAATAGACTTTCATCCAAAGACATTTTTTTGAAAACTTTCAAGATCACTAAAAGGTTGCCAAATGAAGTTACAACTTTCGTAAATATCAAACAAATATTACAAAAATTTTACAATACTGTAATGCCAATTTTCTTTTCTCCGACCTAATTTCTTACAATTATTAAAGTGCAAATACATATTAGTTTGCTCTACAATAATCAAAACCTTTTTGGAATGTGAACAGAGAAGCTTTTACATTTCATATGACCAAAATCATCAAGGAAATCATACAAAATTAAACATGAAATAAAATCACTGAAACATCTGAAATATACAATCAAAAATGTCCCTACTTATCTTCAGAAAAAATTTAGCTTATGAAAGTTGTGCCAGGATAAAAATTAAAATTTGACCAAGCAAAAGGTTTGATGTAATGGTATATGATATACAGTTCACCCTAAGTCAATGATATTTTTGAACACATGCAAAATTAAATGAACTAAGTAATTTAGTCCTTCATTAATAACTTAAGTCTTACAGGCAACCTTATGTTAAGAATAACTAACAAAACTTTAATTAATAAAGAATTAAAGCACTTATTTTATAAATACATATGTACAAATTAGATAATGACTATTAATTTATACAATCTCTTGTATTGTATTTTTAAAATAAATAAATTAAATAAAAAAAGTCTAAAATTTTACCATCATCTAGCATAGGTAGCATCTGTACAACTGTTTCAATTCCAGTAAGTCGTACATAACTTTCTTCATCATTTGCTAATTCTACTAATTCAGGTAAAATAGCACTTTTTGTTGCTTCAAGTCTAATAAATATTTCAAAATTAATTTTTCTTATTTAAATTAACATTTAAATTTATATTTATAATTTCAATGAGTTCTAAATATTTACAAACTTACCCAATTCCTTTAGCAACAACATCTAATTGACGACACATACAACCTCGAACTTCATGATCAACATCTTGGCACAAAGATTGTACAACAGGTAATATTTCTTTCCTTATACTATTATTAAATATTTTTTTATTAAATTATATATTCATGGAAGTTAATGTAGAAAAAATTAAAAGTCAAGTTAAAAATATTCTACTATATATTCTCCATCCTATAGAATTACATTTTATATTATACAATTCATTTTATTTATTATATTAGAGATATTCAAAAATTTTATTACATAAATAATAATAATAAATAAATGTATAATGCTAAAAATTTTTAATAGTGCATTATACAAATGAAAATAAAATATGATTAATTCACTAAATTATGAAAAAATAAACCATTATATGTATTATACATTTAATTACTTAATCAAAATATTTTGATTATTCAAAATAAAATCTGAAAAATACAATATTACTAAATTACCCTCAATCATAAATACAGTAATGTCCCTAATGCTCCTTGTATTTAATAAATTATTGTACAGAACTTTATACTTTACATATTTTTATAAAGTGTACTTTAAAATTCCTACCTTGATCCTTACTTTTTATTTATTTGTTCCCAAAAAAATGTTTTTTTTTGTAAAAAAGATAACATTTACATCTTTTGCTCTCTCCAAGAGTCACTGTCAACTTCAATTACTTTGTCTTTTCACAATAGTATGTTCTTACAAACATTACAGTTTACTTTTAATACCAGTGTGGGAGGTGTTTTTATTAATGTCACTTTCTATATTAAATAATTCAATTTGGAAACATGAATGTGTTAACATAAAATGGTTCATTTTTTTTAATCAAACAAAAAAAAAATTAAATATTTCTAAATTAGTTGTCAATTCCATTATGACAACAATACTTAGAATATGACTGTTAACTATTGATGCTGATCAGAAAAATAATAATAATAAAGCAAGTGGATAAAAACCACCAAATACTGTGTTTGTTGGCTCATGTCCAACCAACAGTTGGCTATGTAAATTTTTTCATGTTTTCTTCACATGTCTAACATCTAAATAGGGGCTAGTTTCCCTAAAAAGTCCCCCTGAGAGACATTCCTTGGCAGATCACCCAGTAGCTATACTACCTTATTCAATCAATCTAATCCAAAAATATGAAAGCAAAATCACATAGAAATTGAAGATAACTGCCAAAATTCATTTGCAACTAACTTGGTTGCAAAGATTTTATCCCAACAATTGTATCCCAGTTTCTGTCACAATACTTTCCCAAATAACAACTTATTTTTGCATTCAATTTATTGTTTTATATACGTGTAAATAATTTGCATAGGCACAACTATTGTAACAAAAACAAAGAAAATATATGAAAACTAAAAGAAAATTACAAAAATATAACACTAAACTGTAAAATGTAGGCTATATGCAAAATGTTTGAAAATTAATAAAATCTGCTTTGATACCTTAATAAATTTGGTCAATGTAATTTTGTGATATATATACACTACTTAAAAATTAACCTGTTTCATTTGAAAAAACTCAAAAACTCTAAAATTTTTTGGCTAAATAATTACTGTTTGATTACATGAAGGAAAGCAACAACTGTTACTGCGCATGGACAGAAAAGACAAAGTCCATTAGGAAAGTAGGGTAGTTTTTTAAAGAATAAGTTCATTTACAACAGTAAAGAAATTTGCAAATAAAATCAAAATTTAATTAATAGTTACTGTATTAACAGTTTACTTTTTAGAATCTATATCTATGAATTAATTTAAAAGAATGACACCTTGCAAATCACAGTGGTATGAACTCCTTCCACTTTCCTCCCCCTGCATGGAAATACAGTTCCTGGATACTTGCAGTGTTACTTCACTATCCCTCTAGCAGGTCAGTAATTTAATTAAATCTTAAATAAATTCTAAATCCATTTCACTCCACATTTTTATAATTTTTCATTAAGAAAATCATTTTCAGATGGTTATATGGGTATCATGCTTTTAAGTGAAATTCCATCATTAATGTATTTTTAAACAACTCTTTCAATTACTTATAAATTTATCATAATAATGGTAAAATTAATAGTACTTGCTATTTTAAACAATATTTTATAGATGAACATGAAACATATTAAATACAAGCTATGATTCTTAAATAGTATCCATAAAATCATGAAACTGCATTGATCATCAATAGTATTTATAGCAGACTTGTGTTAAAAGATCTTGCACAAACCTTATGGGAATAGGTCTTAGTGGATTTGGCTGAGTCTTTGATATTTTGTAGTTTTAATGATCCTAATCAAAAGTCTCCATAGGCACAAAGTCAATAAAATGAACAGTTTTTGAGTTGAGTGTTTGAGATGCAAAAATTGTGTGAAGTCCTAAACCTTTTTTAGTTTCAAAGTATAAAGTATGTTTTCAATGTTATTAAAATTGAGCACATTATCTGGATTGCATTGTGGAGAAATCATTGATTATGTGATTCACACAAGTTTGACTCTCACTCACACTGTTTGGGTTCATACCATACTAGTGGATAAAGCATGCTCCTCTACATGGCAATAGGCACTCTTCTTCCAACAGGGTAATTCCATTGAGACTTGACAATAGTCAAAAAAGAACTATGTGGAATATATCATTTCATATTTTGAAACAAAAAAGATTACAAAAATTAGGAACAGAAACAAGTACTATACATAATCTTTACACCAGGGGTGTCTAACCTTTTTGTTTCTTTGGGCCACATTGGAAGAAGTCATTTTTTGACTTAAGTTGCATCTTCTGGAACCAATTACCAATGTAGGAAAAAATATTACTCTAGTTTAAATTACAGTATTAACAACACCAGTCCACAATTGATTTATTCAAATCAATTGTGGACTGAGGTTGTTCAGATAACCGATTATGTATGAAAAAATATATTAACCTATTCCATGTTGAAATTTTTCTCCATTGCATGTCACTTTGTGTTAAATTTTCGTCAATGTTAAGCCTAACAAAAATTTTTATAATAATAATCATGGCTATTGTATCATTAAAATTTTTTCTTTATTTTGTACAAACAAAATAAATATATGGAAAAATATAAAAACAAAAAAATTATACTTTAGAAGTTAATCTAGTATCAAAAACGTTCAATTCAGCATGACACACAGTACTCAGAAAAACACCACACAAAAGTGCCAGTGCTGCCAGCTAAAACACACACACCAAAAAAAGAAATATTGGAGTAGCTCAAGACATAGCCAAAGGTTGCAGCACCACAGCACCAGGGAAAATTTAAATTTGCTGACTGGAATGCTTTCGGTTAACTGACGTTTCGGTTGACCGGCTTTCGGATAAACGAAATTCTACTGTATTGGCATTTTTTACTTCAATTATAGATTAGTTGTTGTAAAAAACAGTATTACAAAAAAAAGCAGGCAAACAGCACTGGATGAATCATTATTAGTGAGGTTGCGGCCAACGTTTTCATCTCTAAAATGTGAACATTGAATATTTAGAGATGAAAACTTTGGCCGCAACCTCTCTAATAATAAATAATAACTGTACTTGATGATAAATCTTCAAGCTATAAAGTTTTTAATTGTTTTAGTGTACATTTTTAATGTGAAAATAAATAACAACTAGAATTTCCACTAACTGTAGTCAATATACATAACTCACTTATTGTGATCAGTCATCATCAGTATAAGAAAAATGATTATAATAAACAGATTTCATTGTATATAATTTTGCATTTTTAAGCTTCATTTTAATTTTCAAACTGTATTTGCTACAACAAAAGATTAGTGCCAGAACTTTGAAATTAATAAAAAAGAAAAATAAATAAATTTTCCAATTAATAAACAATCATTTTAATATGGAATTTTATTCAGCTTTACCAATTATAAATATCTATACATGTCAAAGAAAATTAAAACTTAATTTAGCTAAAGAATGCAAAAAACTGATGAGTGATAATTCTTATTAATGCATGTCACTTTATACAATTTTGTAATTTAAAACATAAACAGAGATGTGCTAGTAATGTTATTTTCACAAATGAGTAAATCAATTATAGATAAATTTTTCAATAAAAGAAAAATTTTAATTTAGAAAGTCTATAAACAAAAAATACCAAAATTGTCTACAACTATAAATAGAATATAATAAAAATATTTAACTTACATATAAGGATCAAATTTTGTACAAATTTTTCCTAACATCTTACAACATAGCAAACGTGAAGATACAGGTTGCGATATTTGTCCTTTATTGATTGCTAATGTTAGAATCTATAAAATAATCAAAATTACAGATTATTAAAATTTGAATATAATGTATAGTTTGAAGTTTGAATAAAATTAAATAGTTCTTTAAGCAAATAAGATTAAAGTCTAAATTATATTTTTACTAATTATTTTTTATACTTGAAAAAAGCCATGAAGTATTGCTTCAGAGATGCATGACTATCAAATGAGAAATAAAAAACCACAGTCATTTAAATAATACACAAATTATACAAAAACAAAATATAACATTATAAAAATTATGACAAATATAAATTGTGTGTTAAAAAATGACTCAATATTTGTATTTGACAAAATTATTTTATACAGTAAAGCCTCGAAAACCCAGCCTAATGTGGACCAAAGGGTGGCCGAGTTTGTGAAAATGCCAGGTTATCGGGAATGGCATTAAAAAAATAAGTACCAGTGTGGAGTCCTCAGAAAATACTGTACTATACTTGTATGTATTGTTTGCTTGAGAATACAACAAAGAATAAACTGCCCAAATATCCTTAAACAAAGGAAAAGTACATCCTTTATGAAGGCATAGAGCCTTTACTACATGAAAATGAAAATTAATGAATACACTGTACAGTAATTTACCTGATAAGACAAGACCTCAGAAAAATACTTTATGAGGCATAAAGCTGTCTTTATCATGAAAATTAATTAACTAAGGATTTTTTTACCCTGCCAGGGTGTGGCCGAGTTATCTTGAGTGCTGGGTTATCGAGTGCAGAGTTTGAGGCTCTACTGTATAATGTTTTAATTTTAACTTAATGAATAAATCACTTTGAAATTTAACATTCAAATTATAATAAAAAAAATTTACATTCAAATAATTTCAGTTTTCAATGTTTATATTTGCCATATTATAAAACTATAGTCAAATCTTGGTTTTCAAATGCCTTGTTTTTTGAACAATTCAGTTCACAAACAAAATTTTGAACTCATATTTGCCCCGGTTGCCGAACAAGCTACTTGGCAAGAGCCAACCACAAATTAGAGAGAGACAGATGGTCAACTCCCTATACTTCCTATATTAAAGAAATCAATCAACAGAACTACCAATTCAGAAGTTAGTGGCACCAAAATCATCTTGTGTCATTAGACGTCACAACACAAACCATCAATAATGTTGCTATTTAAATTAGACTTTAATGCATATGCAGGGAAGATACTATTTCTGTTTTTCAGTATGCACCAAAGTTAAATCTAAATCAAATTAATTAATAAAAACCGCATTAATTGACATTTGTGTAATATAAATGGCATTCTAGAATTCATGTTTAAACATGCTTAAGTTAAATTAAATAACAAAAATTTATCATTATTATAATATTTATTAATACTAGGTAGTCAGTTACCATAATTATTTGCGTATAAGGTTTTCATTCATTTTTCACTGCTTCAAAAACCTAGCTATACATGCAAACAAAGGATTCTTTGTGTTTTTGCAATAATTTCTGTGAATCATGTATAGTTCATGCTGCCATTATAAGTCTACAGTCTATTTATAGTAAGTTGGCACCTACTGTAAGCAAATTAAGACACACCTCCCTTTGTTTATTGGTTTAATCCTACGTCCATCAATTAAAAACTGTGTTGTAACTCATTCATCTGCAGAAAATAGTTCCTCTTTATTTATAAAATCATTAATGAAATGCAGGTCACTTAGCAATGATTATAAATGTAGTTATTTCATATTAGTTAAACTGTTATTTTTAATGAATATTAGCACATTCTGAATCATTAAAAATAAACTTTTTCTAGTCATGCACATTATAATGTTTTGGTATTGTTTTCCATTCATCACATATTAAGGCAAACATGATTATTTGCCTTTAATACATGCATTTGATATTTTATTTGTGATAAATGAAATAAAATTAGAATTGTATTAATAAAATCTAATTTTCTTTATTTTGAACTCTAAAGTCACACCTCATGCTATATGCAAGATCATCTTATATGCAAGTAAATACGGTAATTAAAACTAAAAAAAATGATTAAATTTTAAAATTATAATAATAATAAGCAATAAACACATATGTCATCCCAGTATTCACATACTCTTTTGGAGTTATACATTGGACTCACACAGATCTTGAGCAACTCCAAAGGAAAACAAGAACAACACTTACTAAGCATAAACAACATCATCCTAAATCCGCCACAGAAAGATTAACCCTTCCACGTAAAGATGGCGGACGTGGCCTGATNGGCCACTATATTGAATATATGCCACATTGTTAGGAAATTCCTGAATACAGACACTGACACACTTATTTAATTTTAGTTTTGTTTTGGTTGCTATGCCTTGACTCTGGTCCGGCATAGTACACAGCCACTGGTGTGAACCGAGTAACCCACTAAACCCAACATAATAATAATAATTAAAGCTCTTGCCTTTATATTGAAACTAAAACTAAAAATAAAATCATAATTAATTAATTAATTATTTTTAATTTAATTTTACTCTCACTGCTTGCATGAAATATAATGAAATCAATCATGATGGACAAGTACTTTTTGAAATATTATGTTTCAATTGAACATGATTTAAATTTAAATTGTATCAATTGAAACATAATATTTCAGAAAGTATGAAAAAGTACTTTTCCATCATGATTGATTTGGTTATATTTTATGCAAGCAGTCAGAATTGAATCTATCTATAGCACTTCTTTGTAAAGATTCAGTTTCAGCTTCAGTGGTCAGTGATAGAACATTTCGCTTTTTATATATATATACATACACATAGATACAGATATAGATATTATATTGCATTTGTAGGCATTTTAATGCATGAAACACAGCTCAAAAGGTGAGGGAAAAAAGTTTTGTTTGGGGACCAGGAATATAAAATGGATTAATCATTAATCCATTTTATATTGTTTCTTGTGGGAAATTTGTTTCAGTTTTAGAACAGATTGGTTTTCAAATTACTATTACAAATGAATTAAGTTTGAAAACTGAGGTTTGACTGTACTAGTAAAAGAACTTGATTATGCACAAAATTTTATTATTTGATATTTATTATTCCAAAATTGAAATAATGCTGTATAAAAAGAATTGTAAGCTATAGCCTTAAATTCATTCTTTTATTAATTTTATATCAATATTTATTTAGTTTATTTGCACACAACAAATTTTCAAAGTGAAGAAAGTATTGGTTAATCATATAAACTCAATAAAATCATAAAAACAAAAACAATTTACTTTTGTTAAAATTATTGACAAGAAAATTGCAAAAATTTTGAGTTATTTTACAATGTAGTCACTTGCATCCCCAAGCATTTCTCATTGATTCACAAGCTTTCTAATGTCATCTAAAAGAAACATTTTGGGTTATTTGAGTGAAGAGCCTTTTATGCATCCATGTTTATTTTAATTTAACAATAAATTGCATATATATCAAATCTAGTAGCAACAATCTTGTAGAACAGTTCAGAAATGATAAAGTATGATCATTGTTGACAATACTTGTTTTGGCATTTCTAAACATTCTCATTCATTCTTAAATTTCTCTTTGAGTGATGATTTTCTCCATATTGTTAACATTATCTGTAAATTTTAAAAGATTTGACTGCTTTGGATCAAAAACATTGAACATAATGTATTGCACATTAACAATGCACATAGAAAATGAAGTTAATACAACTGGACTTCCAATTTTCAGAAGTGAATATAGCCAACTGGAAAAAATACATTTAGATTTTTGTATAAGTTTTATACATAATTGACAGAATGACATTAGAAGAATTTTCTGATATAAACTGTCTTTAATTTTTGATTTCCCCTTCATGTAATCAAAATCTGTGCTAAAAGCAAGCAATTATTTTATTGTGAATTGTCACAATGCTGAGCTGCAATTTTTAATCATATAATGTGACATTGAGTTTGCATCAGAAGTTTGCATATTGTTAATTGGGGCCTCCTGCCCTTAAGCTTTCCACATATGGTCTCAGCTTTCATCTAATTCCATTCTTGAGATTAAGAAAGGACAGACAAATGACAGTGGGAATTTTATAGGTCTTTTATTTGCTTTATTGCATGAAAATTAATATTGTGACAATGGCATTTTGACAGGGCAATGACAAAATTTGCTTTAATGCAAGAATTTGTTTTTTTTCAGTATTTGTTTTAAGGTAAGTCTACTGTATTTGATTTTTGGAAAAAGTTGCTTAAAATTCCTTTATACTTCAGATCAATAGAATATAATGTGAATATGAAAATTCTGAATAACAACTATTATAATTTCCTGTAATTTATTTACACCATTAATAGTTCCATTTTATATTTAACTTATATTAACTTCAATTGTATTAAACAGATCAATATATATATTTTATTTTTCTCTGTTCTTAAAGAATAAAAAGTTTGATTACTCTTTAAATTAAAAAATAAATAAATAAAAAGTCATAATATAAAAATGAAGTCTTCAAAACAAGTAGAAAAATTTAACATTAGGAAATGATGAAGAATGAACTTTATCATTTAGCTTGATCAAATGCTATTTCTGCAGCTTTGTAATATTAAACTTTTCAGCTAGTTTTAAAAGTCTTCATTATTTTATAAAAATAAAATAATTTACATCATAAAATTAATTACTCACATCTCTTTTGATTATGTCTTTGGGTAAAAGATCAATGACATCTAATAATGTTTCCATCCAAGCATTAGCAACAACTGTAAAATACAAAAGAATAATACATTTAAAAATTCCAAAACAACAAAATGGTATAAATAAAATATAATAATAGTTTTCATTTGGTGAAAACAAAATCTCTTTTTAGATTTTATGAAATAAAAATAACAGATTTACATTAATAAGCAAGATAGGCCAAATTTTAAGACACATGGAAAGCTAATATTATTACCAAATGAAAATCCTTAGGTTACTTGGATTTAATATTTCATTAATATATATTTAATGATTTAATAACAATATTTTAACAAAATAGTAATAAATAAATATTTAATATATTCATATTAAATAGTAAAATTTTAGACAATTGGTTATCTTTGGAAGTAAGTATTAAATTGGTATGGAGAACTTATCATACAGGAACACTTTTGATGGGTAATATAGAATTTTTTTAAAAATTTTTTTTAGCAAGTTTTAACTTTCATGTTTTATAGGTACCTTTTATTGCATTAGTATTTTGTAGCTATTTCATTATTTAAATTTTAATATTTAAAAAAGTTTTTTATTTTTTAAAATTTATTTTAGTTTTACTTGTTTTTAAATTCTTTGGTTTTTAAAATATCTGGTTTTACTCCAGTAGTCACTATTACAGGTAATTTTTTTGTGAGTTACATGTATGTAGGATAATAAATACTTAATAGATAATAAATTGTTAATTTTACTGTAATTTAGTCTATAGTTTCATCAAATTGTATAATATATACTGAAGAGAGGTAAATAGCCCAAAATGCATTTCATTTTTAAAAAATAAATTCTACATTACACATAAAATGTGTTCCTGTATAAGTTTTCCATAGCAATTTTGTGCTTACTTCCAAGGAACTAAATGAGAACAAGATGCAATTAATAGAATTGATTATCTTCAAACTTTACCTGGATCTCGACTGTCCACACTAGAAAGTATACTTTGCAAAAAACTATGAGTAAATGTGTTAGAAGGAACAAGTTCTTGACTAAGAAGAGATGAAAGAAAAGTGTTGCTATTGTTTAAATGATCATTATGTAGATAAAATGCTTCTTCCTATAATTAAATTTAAAATATCTCATTTATAAATGCAAGTGATTCAGTTTATTATTATTCATAATTTGAAAAATAAAAATTAAATATTAAAAAATAATTATATAAAATATTTATCCTTGTTATTTATTACAATAAGAAAGTTTTTGTTTAAGTGTTCTCATTTGTATTAAAATAATTTACAAAATTTAAATGAAAAACAAATTTATAACAAGAGTGCTTTAATTTGTAGTAAAAAGAATTTACAGAGCATATCCAAACTTTCTCTGTGTTCACTGAGAAAGAGTTTCTCTTATTATTTTCTTCTACAGCTGATGGTTCATTATCAAAAAATTTTGATAATGTTCAAACACTTGATTTGTATTCCTTTAAACTGCATGTGTACAATTCAAAGTTATGTTAGCAGCTGTAAATGGTTGACAATTGTTTCTAATGTTAAATTTGCTTAATGCATCACTATCTTATGTATAATTTAAATATCAGCCAATCATGTTACATTAATAGTTACTTCATAATCAATTTCAAAAGAAATGCATCTTACAGCAAAGACTGTCAAGAGATTAGCACTCTCTTCTAAATAAACACAAAACACCGTGTATTTATTTTATTACCAATTATTTTGTAAATGAAGTAAGAAATCCAAAAACATTGATTACATTATGAATTAAACAGCCTACCAATTTCAAATTAGTTTTCTAGCTTTTATGTTCTAAACAATATTTAAAACATATAATAATCTGTAGAAGAAAAATTTTTTATATTTATTTTTGTAGTACAGTAGATCCCCCTATAAAACCGTTTCCTATAGTTATGATTCCTATAAAAATTGTGGCATTATCCGTAAACAACGGTAAAAATAACTCCTATAATACGTAAAACGTCATCGGGCAGCCGAACTACTTACCCGCCGTCCGTAGCGCCACGCTACGGAGAGATTTCTATCGTCTGGACAGTATTATATAAATTATATATAAATTAGGTACTGTACATATAATTATATATTAATTATATATAAATTAGGTACTGTATATATAATTATATATTAACTTAATTTATTGTAACTTTATTATAATTAAATATATATTTTTCGCCGTCTAGCGTCACGCTACGGCGAGTTAGGCGACCTATCGTCTGTTCAGTACTGTAATTTTATACATTTCTTGTGAAAGAAACATTTCTTATTCAACGGCCATAAAAATTATTTATATTAATGATGTCTCCAAAGGTCAACGAAGTTTTCGCAGAAAAATAATATCAGAAATCGCGGCCGCGGTTTGATGCGCTGTTCCGCGACGAAACCAAGCTTTAGCAACGGGCGTAGTCGAACGGTACACACTCGGTAAGCAATCCTACAATTTTTTGTTTATAACGTAGTTTATACGGATTATTTTCAAAAAAATATACGTATTTTGGAAATGTTGAGTCGAATTAGTCTAGAATCGATTAATTTTATGAAAGAAAACCTTTCAAACAGCCGTAGTCCGTAAACTATGATTCCTACAAAATTGATTCATAAAGAACGGAACGTATCTACCGTCTTATAGGGGGATCTACTGTATTTGATTAAAAGCCAATCAATTGAAAATCCAACAATTTATAGTTTTAGTCTTTAATATATAACTGAAAAGCATAAATTTTAAAAAGTATATTATATTAACAATTAATAATTAGTTTAAGTATTAAAATCCTACATTAGAATAAAAATAGTTCTATTGTTTAAACTTTCTGAAATTGCATAAATACATATATACTCAAGAAGAACAAAGTAGAAAATATTCAAATTTAATTTCTACAAAGTAATCATAATTTATATAACCATTCAGCATTATCTAGAGAGGTATTTAGCAGTCCAAATGCAAATGCAACCAAATCCAGTAAGGAGACATATCGGGATATGCAAAAGACATTTCTGTAAAAATATACTTAAAAACTCACTACTATGACACTTTTGGAACTGCAAGTAACTACTTTTTCATCTGTACAAGATGCTCATGCCAGAAAGAGACATTAGTAATATACAGAACATTGCTCAATGGTCCCCATTCTGAAGATGATAAATAGTGTTCAATTTTTTCCAGGCAAATTGCAAGCAATAATTTGTTGTATATGAATTTCTTAAATATGAAAATAAATTTTTACTTCATATTTGGTTTATGGTTATTATTATACGTAAACAACAACATATTTATAGGATATCAATTAATTTTAGTGGAAAGTTTGAAAACCCAGGTGGTTTCGTGGTCTCAAACTTTTTCCAGGACTGTATTTATATATATATAATTAATAAATCATTTTAAAAACTTACCTCAAATCTTTGTCTAATGTTATCTACATGTTTATTTTCTACATGTTCAGAATGACCATGTAATATTTTAAGTTTTTGATCTTCATCAGAACTATAAAAATAAATAGATTTTTAATTTATATAATCATTTAAAGAAAAGTAATTAAAATTGATTCATAACATACAACAATTAAAAAATTTTCTTTCATGCATTTAATATATTAATACATCTTGGTAATGAATACTAAAAGTCAAGAAAATATCTATGGAATTAATATCCAATTGGAATTAATTCCTATGTTGTTGGAATTAATATCCAATTGGATATTAATTCCAACAACATAGACATTGAATGATAATTGAATGAAAAATATGTAAAATATGAAAGAAAGAAAAACAGGGAAAAAGAGACCTTAGCTGATATTTAAGTTAAATTAATAAGTTTATAAATATTTTCAAATTATTACAGAAAAATATGTTCATAGTAAAATTTTTAAAATAATTTATTTCTCAAATAAAATATCTATTATAGTGAAAATAACTTGATCTTTTCAATATTGCATTGTTAATTAGAAACTAGATACAGTAAACCCTTAATTTAATAGGTTATGATTTAACAAACAAAAAAAAATTGTCCTGTAGGAAAAATTTAAAAAATTTTATATTTGCTAATAAAATATTCAAAAAACAAACAATTGAGTAATTTATACTCATTGCCTCATGTACATTATATTATTATTTTATTCACAATTATTTATATATCATAACATTTTTACACATCTTGTAAGTTTTCAGTTTGTTTACACAATTAAAAATATAGAAGATTAAAAAACTATTATATAATGTACATAACATTATAGAGGTGTAGCCTCTAATAAAAGGTTCTCTCTGCAAATGAATTGGATGATGTAAATCTAGTGATTGGATATGACTGAAATATGAAGATGACTTAGTTTCTTCTATATTTTCAATATAGTAATTAGTTTTAAATTTTTGTTAACAAACTGAATTGATTATAGAATAGTTTAACTATTAAAATTAACTGTCACTTTAAAAAATGAACAACAGTGTGAATTTTACAATATAGCATTTACCTTTAACAACAAAATTAATTCCAACTAAAAGGTTTTTAATTGTAACTTTGACCTGTCCATTCAATCAAAAGTTGTTAACAACAAATTTTTTAACATATTTAGTATTTACAACTATAAAATAATATAAAAAGTATTTTCATTAGAAATAAACATTTTATATTAAATGATTACCCTTCCAAATAAAATTCACAGAGAGATTCTCCACCTTCCAAAGGTGGAGAAGATGGATCATGTTGTTTGCTGTCAACAACAGATTCTTTCTGATGAGATGATTTGTCATCTGCAAGCCACATAATTGATTCTGTAATAAACAGCACCAATCCTAAAATACAAGATAAAATGCATTATATTAAATCAGAAGACAATATCAGATTTCAACATTCAAATTTTAAATTAGATCAATTTTATAAATTCTTGTTTATAAAGGACTTTATTCCATGAATTCTGTATAAATTTATATAAATTAATTTAGAATTCATGGAAAAAAATCTTATGTAAACAAGAATTTATAAAATGTGATCCAATTTAAAACAGCTTATAAAAAAGCTTAAAAATTAACAAACTAAAATAAATACTAAATTAAAGATAAATTAAGTATATAAAATATCTTTTAATGATAAATGATTAAATTACATTGAATAATTTCAAAATTTAAGTTTTTAAATGCAAACTGAACTTCTAAATTTGAACATTAATAAATTTAGAACAATGGAAATCAAATAACTTTGCATTATTTGTAGCAATTTATACATTTAATTCCGTGACAATAGATGTTTTTATCTAAAATATTTGATAATTATATTGTACTCCATAAAATCCTCTTAATACCACTAAACCTTTTTACTCTGTTAACATATTGATTATTACAATTTCATTGGGTGAAATGCTCTTACAAAGTTATTCTCAGGTATGTTATTGTATGCAATTTCAACTTACAACATTTATTCTTCAGTCAAACTTATAACAAAAGTTTATTTTTATCAAAAAATTCTATGTGAATTAATTTGTAGTTGGCCTATGAAACAAAACATTCAAAAAAATAAAAAAATAAAACAAACTCTCATATGGTGTTATTTAATAATAAATGAAACAAAAATTATAAGAGCACTTTTGATAAAATAACTTATCTTTAGGAAATGAAACAGAATGTGTTTTTCAAAATTAAACCAATAGAGCACTTCAAACTAAATCATTACATAAAAAATAAAGAGAGGAGAAGGGAGGAAAGATAATGTCTACTTCAATGTTTTAATCAGTAAAATTCAATGTTCTGACAGATTTAGAATAGTTAATTGTATAGACCAGAAGTTAAACACACATTATTTTCTAGATATAAAGAAATGAACAATCAGAGCATGGATGTAAAATTCAAATATCTGCCCAAACAGAATCAAAGAAACTATCTAACACTTCACATGTAAGATGATCTTTTGGTGTTCTGATATACATGTAGCAAGCATTCTACTGTAGATGTCTTGCTGATATAAGCAGGGGTTGCTCTGGAAAATTTAAAAATACCACCATTTTGCCAGTTTTAAATCTTTTTTCTCGCCAGTTCAAATTATATATCGCCATCAGTTTTACTTATTAAATAATGCAGGCGCCGACAGCCTTCAGTTTCATATCTGGAAAGCAAAAGTAACATGTTAAACTGTCACTTACAAGGAGAGGGTCAAACGTTCGGGTCTCCAATTCAAATGAAACATGGTGAGCATGTAGCCTTAAATACAAACAGCTCCACATCCAAATAACAGAACCCACTTTTCAAGCATTTCAAAAAATTGGACATCTAAAAAATTTAGTGTTTAGCTTATAAGTTTCACCTCCCAGAGCAGCGATAGCTAAGTAAGATGCTAGGTACTGGAGTTAGAGTCAATGTAGGTTCAAACCTTTGGCATTTTAGCTTAATAATGCTACACACACACAAAAAAAAATATATTTTAAATTCACACAATAACTTTGGAACAGCAAAAAATTTATTAACTAATATTTTCGGATGTCTTCTTCCAATAGAATAGTAAATGGAATGCCAATTCAAATTTAACATCTGAACGTTAATATAATGCAATTCAAACATAAGTTCGAAAATATTTTAAAATGCAAAGATCATTGCATGTAAATAATGTATGTAAATAACATGTAAATAACACAAAAATAAAATAAACAAATACATAAAAACTAAATTGATAAATATACAGAAACATTAAAATTAAATAAATACAAAAAAATCTTTAAAAAATGAACCCCATCTGTTAAATCAAATGATGTAAATAGTTCATTTCATAGCTATCACATGGCATTGTGCTATTTGTCTACAGGATGAACAAAAAAGGACCTCTATGCTTCCAACAGGGAGTTAATGTCCTTATAATTGATAGAATGTCCCTTATAAATTGCTCCATAAATATCTAAAGCTTCAGCAAAGAGAATGTGTTGGTGGTTTCTTATTTTTTTTTTTTGGACTATTTGGGCTCAGTCCCATTCAATACACATAGAATCTTGATTAGTGAGGACATACACCGTTAAGACTGTATTAAGGTTAGATTTGCTAACATTGTCCTTGAGTTTGTTTAAGCATTGTTGGATGGATCTCAAGGTGGCCTCGATGTAGTAGAAATCATGTGCTGCTCTCTTTTACAGGTATATTGTAAACAACTGGGACCAGCGTCATGTTGTGGATTCTTTCTGGACCTCATTAAGGCCCTCCAGTGCATGTTCAACATTAGGTATGATAGTTTCAAGTTTAGGTAGAGGATGTGGCACAAACACAAAGGAAACGGAAGTGCATTTTCTGGATATTACAATAACACTCAGGAGCAACACCATATTCAGAAGCATTTACAGAAAACCTTCCTACAATCCTCTGTTCATTCCTTAGAGTTCCTCTGACCTTATCAACTATAGACCAGCAGCATTCCAGGCACTGATCAGGAGAGTTCATACATACTACATGGGTGCTCAAGATAGAAACAAGGAATTGGATTACATCATTTCTATTGGTGTGAGATTTGGTTAAAAACGTAGGACCATTAAAACCCTCATTGATTTCATTCCAACAAAAAACAAAGGGATGTTCCAGGAATTCTTTACAAGCTGAAGGCCTACAGAACATCTTTAAGGAGATGGTCCAACCAATGGCCTATCACCCACAGAAGAAGCCTTATAGTTTATAGGTTATTATGAAACATTACGAATCTCAACACGGCGCTGGTCCCAGGTGTTTAAAATATACCTGTAAAAGACAGCAGACCCGCACACAATCTCTACTTCATTGGGGCCACTATGAGATCCATCCAACAATGCTTAAACAAACTCAAGGACAATGTTAGCAAATCCAACCTTAATACTGCTTTAGCAGTGTATATCCTCACTAATCAACATTCTATGTGTATTGAATGGGACTGAGCCCAAATAGTCAAAAATAATAATAATAATAATAAGAAACCACCAACACATTCACTTTGCAGAAGCTTTACATATTTATGGAGTAACTTATAAGTAACATTCTATCAATTATAAGGACATTAACTCCCTGTTGGAAGCATAGAGGTTCTTTTTTGTTCATCCTGTAGACAAATAGCACAATGCCATGTGATAGCTATGAAATGAACTATTTACATCATTTGATTTAACAGATGGGGTTCATTTTTTAAAGATTTTTTTGTATTTATTTAATTTTAATGTTTCTGTATATTTATCAATTTAGTTTTTATGTATTTGTTTATTTTATTTTTGTGTTATTTACATGCAATGATCTTTGCATTTTAAAATATTTTCAAACTTATGTTTGAATTGCATTATATTAACGTTCAGATGTTAAATTTGAATCAGCATTCCATTTACTATTCTACAGGAAGAAGGATGTTAAAGACATTCGAAAATATTAGTTAATAAATTTTTTACTGTTCCAAGGTTATTGTTGTGTGAACTTATTTATATTTGCAAGACAGCTCTGACTTGACTTTAAATGGCTATGCCATCTAAGACATATTGCAAGATGATTTTGAAGATTTGTAGAAACAATACAGTCCAAAAAATTGCAGTACATAAATAATATTTATGTATAATATGCAATGGAAAATAATTATAGATAATATATATATCCTTTTCTGTCAAATAACTGGTTCAACCATAAAATATCAGAAATTTAAAAGAAAAAATGATTGAATGCTTAACTGGTTATAAATTGCCAAACATTGCAAAGAGAATCATTAGTTAAAATTAATTTCATTATTTAGAGGCTATACCTCCCACAGAAAAAACAACAAATCAAACCAGATCAAATGTAGTATTCAGAGCAAAATTTAACAACTTAAATTTATAAAAACAGTACTCTTTTGGGAACATACCACCCAAAGCACAAAGTTTCTAGAAGAAAGTCTTGCAATGACATTCAAATAATGAGGGTTTGGAGAATATTTGAATTGATGAATTGAATAGAATTTTTTAAATTTCTTTCTAGAATGAATGTCAAGTCTTCCATCTAGGCCCAGGTTTTCATTTTTGTTTAGCGACTGTTTGAAACCTGCATATAATTTGTAAAATAAACTGTTGTTTGTGTTTCTTATACATTAATGTGTATAAATCAGAAAAATAACTTGATGTTATTTGGAAAATCAATGACTGTTACATCAGAAAGATCAGCTGAACATATATTCAAAAGATTAAAAAAAACCAATGCAAAATACAGTAGACCCCCCTATAATGCAGGTTCATATAATGCGGATTCGTATATCGCGGCGAAAAAATTGCAACTGTATTCATATAAAGCCACTAACAGACTCGTAAAATGCAGTAAAACGTCATCGCTGACTCATGTCGCAACAGGATTGGTCGAATCTGGACCAATAGTGGACGAGCAGCCGAACTACTTACACACTACGAAGAATTTAGGCGGGTAAGTTGAGTTTACTATCGTCTGTACAGTATATAAATTAGGTACTGTAAGTCTAATACAGTGCTGTAATTTTATACATTTCTTGTGAAAAAAAACATTTCTTATTCAATGGCCATAAAAATTATTTCTATTAATGATGTCTCCAAAGTTCAATGAATTTTTCGCAGAAAAATAACTTATCAGAAAATGCGCCCGCCGTTTGGTGCGCTGTTCCACGACAAAAACAAGCTTAAGCAATGGCGTCGTCGAACAGTGCACACTCAGTAAGTAAGCCTACAATTTTTTGTTTATAGCATAGTTTATACAGATTATTCCCAAAAAATTATACGTGTTTTGGAAATGTTGAGTCAAATTAGTCTAGAATCGATTAATTTTATGGAAGAAAACCTTTCAAACAGCCATAGTCCATAAACTGCACACGTGCCGGGCTGTGATT